TTCAACTGCACAAAACCATTTTCCAGAAAAGAAATTTTCGTCTTGCGAAATAAATTGAAATATATCTTTGTTGCTTTTGTCTTATTTTGTATCCAAACTCTTTTCTTCCCTGCTTATCAACTTGTGTCTTTTAATTTTCTTTACTTCCTTCGCCCACACAGCAACCCCATTAGACAAAAGGTTAAAGCAGTCATCAAAGGCCTGCCATATTAAGTGTTCGCGTCACAAGCCGCTGAGTTCCTTTGTCGTGCACATTCCAGTCTGAAAGTGTCTCGGAACGTTGCAATACTGGCGCCTTCGTAAGCAACACGACTGCTAAAGCTGGGCAAATGACACACCCTCCCTTAAGGCCTTTCTTCACCCACGGGTCACAGCCTGTAATTTTCATCTCATATTTCATTATGCACCCTTTTTGATATTCGTCTATATTTTCTTTGCTGTTTAAATTTATTTTCGTTTTGCCATTTTTTCCCCCTTCTTTTTCTAATCGCGCGAAAACCTTTGTCGGCCTGACTCCTTTTTACTTTCTTTATAGTTTTCTTATCTAATTATAAGCAAGTATTTTGTACTTATAATCATAGAATATATTATGTTATTTTATCTCTGATGGTCATAGCTTTTATTGCTGTTGAATATTGAGTCGTTGAGCAGTTCTTGCTATTACCATTCGTTTTTCTTATTCGTTCATCTATTTCCACTGTTATACTTCGGAAATGCTACAATAACTATAGCTGTGTTTTAACCTAAAGGATAAAAATGTCATATTTGATGTCATTAACGTCCCCCCCTTTTTTTTCTAAAATGATACCATCTATTTCTGTGTCTTTTTCTACAGAAGGATGTAAAAAAAAAAGTCTGGCTCACATTCTAATTACATGGGAACGCAAAACAAGTTACAAAACTTCGGTAAAGTCGACGAGGACATTTCCAATAAGATCAATATTTTTCTCTCGGAGATTCTTGAGGACTTGGCAAATTTGACACTCCCAGGACATATTAAAGGCAAGAGGAAAGAGGGTAACATACCTAACGTGATCGTCTAAACGGTTGACAGAACAAAGATATATATATATATATATATATATATATATATATATATATATATATATATAAAAAAGACAAAAAAAAAAAGAGGGGTTTTTAACCGGGGTGTCTATACCCCAATACTCCTGGTATGGGACTCGATTTCTGAGTACTGCTAGTTACCACCCCCCTGGGTTGTGTTTGACAGATTGCACAAAAACAACAGCAAATGTCTCACTAGATTAGTAAAAGTCTGTTTTAGTCGAGATACTAAAAACACTTGCAATCTATGTTCTCTTCCTTTTTCTTGCGTAATAAAACTGAATTATAATTTTATTTTGCTCTTAGTAAAAAAAAATATAATAAAATTATCAATGCTTATGGCGTTTTATGTTCTATTCCTAGCCATCCATATTTAAAGTAGAGTAAATTCAAGCGATTGAAATATTTGGAAGACATACTGGCAAATAATAGGATTGGTGATAATTATTTCGACAGTCAAGTGAAGTGGGTATGGGACCATATTGGACAATCCATTGGGGGTCTGGAATCATCAAAAGGTCAAGAACCCCTGACCTTAAAAGCAGGGCATAGTTTCTTCTGTGATGAAGAGATGTCTTGAAGCAACAAAAATGTGATTCTTGAGAAGGATGCTGAGAGTCATAGAATATATTCTTTATTTATTTATTTATTTATTATCTCTGATGGCCTTAGCCGTTATTGCTGTTGAATATTGAATATCTGAGCAGTTCTGGCTATTACCATTAAGTTTTCTTATACGTTAATCTATTTCCACTCTTATACTCTGTCAGTGTTACAGTAACCATATCTGTGTTTTAACCAAAAGGATAGAAATGTGGCATTAAGGTCACCTTTCTTTGCTAAAATGGCACCATTTATTTCTTGGTCTTTATATGTGAAGTCAAAAGAAAAGAGTACTGAACAGTTAGGTCATATCTGTTATATGGCATTGAATGCTGGACAATCGCTCCAGAAAGGAAGAAGAGACTTGAAGTAACAGAAATGTGATACTACAGAAGGATGCTGAGGATACCATGGAGAAACGACGAAGTTTTAGAGAAAATGGAAATAAAAAGGAAACATTAATATCAGGAAGAGTCAGTCTATATCTTCGAGATGAGGTATTATGATTACTTTCATTATTTACATTATTCGAACTGTTTTCCTCATCTTCATTGCCATATTCACAACCTTTCGGCCGTTATACGCTTCGACCTTCTTCAGGTGATTGAAATTTGGAACGGAAATCATTATTTCGTTCACCGGCGTACGTACACACACACACATATACATACACACACACACACACACACACACATATATATATATATATATATATATATAAGATTTTTTTCCAGTTGTCATTTTATACCAATCTGTCTTGTCCACAGTATTGATCTGGCAATTTAACTATATTGTCGACATGGAAAAAGAAAAAATAATCCCTTACTATAAA